GTTTTTGTACTCTATGGACCACAAAAGAAAGTCTAAATGGTTTCCGATGACAAACAAATGAAGTTGCCTTACCCGGCAAACGGTCATTGAACGGTTAAGGCAATGGTCATCTAATATATATAAACTGATTATACTTTGCATGAAGAAATACATACTTTGATTAAAAATTGATAGACATCTCAAAAGTTGTTGGCATGTCTACAGGTATATTATAATTCTATGGTAATAGCACAAAGGCTTAATCGGGCAGACAATTAATTAAAACAGAAACAATTGTTTTTAATAGTTTATTAAAATTCCGATATTTTAATTATCTTGGATAAAGTAATAAACAGTCGTACTTGTATAATGAAGACAAAAAATATATTAAGGATATATGTAAAAAAACAAAACCAATAATGTATATATATATATTATACAAACATACGGTTTATTATAAAAATATTACATAATTATATATATATATATATATATATGTATATATATATATATTATTATAGTTATTATTATATCTCTTACTACATTATTATAATATCTCTTACTACAATGTCTTTCTAGATGTCTCGTTTTAAGATAAATTTCACTACATAGATTTCTCCACATATATTTCAGTATATATACTGTACCCATCCCCTGCATAATTTAATTTAATTTAAATAAAATAATTAAGTCTGAATATATTGCAAAATAAAATATGTGCTGTGTAAAGAAAACATTACTAAAAAATATTACTCAAAATCGTAATTGTCTAAAATCCAATAAAATGCGATTCGGAAAGAGTCAAAGTTTTGCATTTCCAAAATGATTTCCTTTTGTATATTTTATATAAATAAGTTTTATAATGAAATTCAAAGAAAAATGGTCAGGACAGTAACAAATCTCAGAAAGTACAGGATAAAAACCTAATTTAATTCAAATTATGGATATAACAATTAATATCCAACTTTAATAGCACTGATAATAGATGCCCTATAGTACAAAAAACACAACTATTATATCATTCAACTATTATATATTATATACTTAAAAGTTTCAACAGCCTAAAGCGTAAATGTAAAACTACAATTTCAGATTGCAGTCCTTCACTTCTCTGGATTCGGATTATGTTTACTAAATAAATTTTTTTTGTAGTTAGTAATGGTTTTCTGAGAAAAAGCTTAAACACTTTATGCTCGTTAATACAAACTCTTGAAAACCAGACCATACCAAATGCAAAACTGAAAACTGGATTTGTGGAGTCGAATTCCACAAATTTAGGTGGAAAATTAATATTCCAATTATCCAAATATTCAGATAGAAATGCTTAAGGAGAACTATTCTGAATTTGAAACATTTTTCAATAAATTGGAACAAATTAAAATAAAAACAGAATGTCGCATAATGGAAAATAAACACATCTATAATGTCATAGTTACTTCGTTTTTTATGGAATCTTTTCTCAGTGGAAGACTGTACTCGTCTGTGCAATCACAGATTTAGGCTTAAGGATTAAGGAATTTAAACATAAAAAGTATTGCGCTTTCCTTCTAAGCTAAAATTCACAATACAAAATAAAGAACAAAAAATTATAAGTTGGATTGTACAATGACATCATTGTAACGGCTTTGACTAAATATTGGATCGTCGAAACGAACATTGATTGTTCTTGAATAAAACCCTCTTGAGTGATTGTCTTTTCGGTGCGAAATAAATCCAAAAGTAACTAAACAAATCATTCATTACATGAAAACGGTAAAAACTTGTCGAAATATATAATTCATGTTCCTCGGAGGTCTAAGGCCGCAACAATCGATTTTTGTGGAATACTATTATTATCGATTTTAATAGAAAGCACGGAACATAGTATAAGAACACATAGTATAAGAAAATGCATAAGTAATCGATGATCATTTCAAACAAAGATGTGTGTGTTTAAATGTCGTTTTACAATTCCAAATGTGAAGAAATCAGAGATTTATTAAACTATTTTTTAGACATTTAACTTCCGTTGAAGTTGTCTATTACTAGAAATGAACCTGTAATAAAACTACTTAAAATACTGTCATGGCCATTCATAGATCATATCAAATATAATATATTCCAGTTTTGAAATTTTTTTTTAATAATCAAAAATGTTCTCTGAAATATTAAATGGACATTTTGTTCACCCTAAATTTATAAGACTGAAGTCTAATACGAGTATATTTCGTTGAAGATTCGGATTTCTTGATGGAATTGTGTTTGTTGAAAAAATCACTGGCTTTTCTTAGATTTTTGACCGGATTTTAGAATTTTAGAGACAGCAAACAAAATACACTTTAAATTATTTTAATAAAAGTTGAATATTTTGACCACAGTTTGCTAGAAATTTAAGATCAAATAACGTCAAAAATATTTTCAATGTAATTTCATATTAAATTTTTTGATTGTTCATATGTTTACCAAAATTATGGACATTCGATTTGACTTCCGGATTCTGTAATATTTTTAAAAAATTCAAAAATTCATATTCTTTGTTTGGTTTGCGAAGGTTCTTTGAGACTTCTTATCGCTTAAGTAATGGCGGCTGGTAGACTATTTAGTATGGCCAATTGTATGAATAAACGATTAGCTGAAGTAGATAGTATTGGTGCAACAGGACTCCAAGGCGGCAATAAAAATATTTTAATCAATTATTCCACAGATGTTAACCGTAGTGATTATAGACCTCTCCAAGGAACAGAGAACCGAATTAACAATGGGCGACCAATGCCGGTATGTCATGCTCGAACATTCATTTGTACTTTCATAAATAACGTAATTCAGTCTACCAATTGTTACTTAAATTACAATGTCTTTAACAAATACCAAACAACATATACCCAGCCACTGTTCAAAGGTGCAAGAGCAACGGCCACAACATTAAATAATGTACAAAATCCAGGAAGACAACGTTGCAGGACCATGGCAACGAAATCACGAACTCGTCACAATAAGAAGCATGACTTTTCAAAAGTTATAGATTGTGTTTTTAGAGCAGTGGAAACTGAAAAATTTGTATTGCTTAGTAGAGCAGTAATAATGACGTCATATGAGTACTCGACATATGTCCAGCTAAAGAATATTTTACGTGATGGTTCGCTACAAATTGCTGAAGGACTAAGGCTACATCTAACAGCTGGGTTGGCTGCATCGATTATGGCATGTGCAGCATATATGCCTATTGAAACGTTTAAGTTAAGAGTTCTTCCGGGCTCTAAGAAGCTGCAAGGCATATTGAAAGGTAAACATATGATAAAAGTGTTCATCCAAATCGGCCGTAAAGAGGGAATATGTAGCTATTTTCGTGGTTTCATTATTTACTGCTGCCGTACAACACCACAAACTGTCGCAGTAATATTAACTATTGAGCAAATGTGGATTTTGTACAGTAAACTCAAGAACGCGTTTGACAAACCAGCCATCCAGCAATGAAAACAGAAATAATTAGACAATACTATAAATGAGAAATGCCGACAATCTTTTTCAAAATTTTATTATAAAAATCTAAAAATCAAAATACTGAAAAATTTAAAATCTAAGAATTGTAAAACTCCCAATTGAGGTTTGCTGTAAAACCCGTGAATTTGTAAATTACAAAAAACTTGTATTCTCATAAGGTTTGCGATTAAAGTTGATTAGTTTTAAGATACTGCAGTCTACAGCCTGCCACCTGCAGACTGCGGCCTGCAGATCACAGAAACTAAATTACTTTAATTGTGAATCTTCAGCAAAATGATATATAATAAAAAAGTGGTCCTTGTTAAATCCTGACATTTCTTCTGCTACCTCAAGTTGCTTGTTGAAAAGAGGTTTATCTTCAAATTTAACTTATATACTTATTTTACACTCTATCTAATCGTATGTTCACATTTTGAATGCTTTGGTCGAAGGTGATATGTTTTGTGTATTGAAAAAAAGAATGTAAATGATATTTTCTAATAACGTTAAATTAATTAAATTTTTGATCAATTTTTATTTTAATGAAGTAACATTTTAACTAGTTGATATCAGATAGGTTGCTAGCACTTTTGAGTTTTTGGACAGTTTTTAGATTAACTTGCAAATTTATTCGTATCTAAATCCATTAGAAGTTTTTTTTTGACTAGAAGCTTTCTAGTATTTCGATATTCGATTGGAGTGTGCTGCTTCTTATTTGCATATTGGGTATATGATTTGTTTGTTAATGATATTAGGTAATGAATTGCGTTAAATGAGTCAATTAAACTTTTTATGTACCAGATGAAATACTTTTTTTGAAGTGAACATATGATTCATTGGATTGAAACGTTCGCTGAAGTAATTACGACAATATTTATAGTAACAATCCTTACTACAACAAGTCAAAGTAACAAGTCATAGACTTGTAGTAACGATTGTTATCATAATTGTTGTCGTGATTATTTTAATAAACGTCTCAATTCTGAAAATAACTGGTGCCCGGGTCACTACAGATTCTTTTGGTACATTCAAAACAGATATTAATATGGCATGTAGACTTAATGCGAATCATTTGGTGCTATTGTACGAGGGCTAAAAGGGGCACTCTATTTTTTACCCCTCAACTTCTTATGACTTGACTTATTCAAATCTTTCGATATAATCCTAAGAAAGTTTTCAGTATGTTAGCATTTAATGACACTTTGATTGTTTGATTAAAGAAGTGAAATAAACATTTTTTGGAAGCATTTTCTTTTTTAGGTAAATCTATACAGAAATGGTGTAGTTAAAAACCACACTTTTCTAATTATTTACAAAGAAAAGCTTAAGAAGAGAAGTTTAGTTTTATTGAAATAGAATTCGTTATAACTCCCAAACTCTAGCAGTGTGTTGTTTTTATACATATCTTTTTTAAATATGGATCAAAGTAATAATTATGTGTTATCTAATTAATAAAAATTAAATAGTTTTAAAGAAATATAAATTAAGTTTAAAAAAAGTTGTATATGTAGTAACATATAAAAATTAATTATCATTAAATATGTAAAATAGCAACTGCCTACCTGTTCCACTGACGTTATTTTATATGTACAGTAGCTGGTGTTTTTTTTCTTGCTCGATTTAAATTTTAGGTTGAAGCTCGCTGAATGCGTTTATGACTTTAAAAAGAGTCCAATATAACCGCAACCGACTGACTTTCTGATTAACGTATGAAACCGTATTCAATGTCACTGATCCAAACAATTTGTTGTTGTACTTGAAGTGGTTGTGGTTGTTGTTGTTGTAAATGTTGTAAATGTAGTAAATGTTGTTATATGCAGTTAAAATCTACATGAAATTCAAAACATGTGGTTTTTTTTAAATATAATATTTTCAAAGACATTTAACCGAAAGCACTACAAAAAACAATAACCAACAAAAAAGTTACATATAAAGTTGGAAATAAAATGGCGTAATCTTAATGCATTACATAAAAAGATCTGTTTCAATTTAGAACTGTAGGTACTTAGATAGAACTCTCATAACAAACTAGAGAAGAGAGGACCAATAACTTTTGGTCCTTAACTTTTGGCTTAAATTGAAATCTAAATATTAATCATCTATGGAATTCAAAATAATAAATCTTTAATCTTTAATTAGACTAAAAGCAGTTACGTATAAATCGAACCTATTATAATTTCTATTTTCCTGGTGCTTTTGTTGCGTAGACATTTGTAAATATAATAGGTACTTTCCGTGCACATCGTCTGTAATGCTCAGTGAAAGTGATGATTTGAAATGTCTTTAAAATACTAAACTTAATCGAAAGCAAACAGCTTACTTCTCATAAAATAGAACAGTAAGAAGAAGCACTACATGTATATAGAGTGACACACTCTTATTGCTTCTGCGAAGCGCATTAATAGCGTTATTAAAAGGTTTGTTTGACCTATGTAAAAAATTACCCATATCAGATCTCAAGCAACTCAACGCTAATATAAATCTGTTAGTGATTGAACCATTATACATTATTTACAATTCTTTAAGGTGGATGATAAACATTGGAAACGATACTACTCTGACATATTATCTATTGTAATATATTGTTCTGTTCTGCAATGTTGATATATAATGTAACAGTTGTGTATTGCATTCTAAAGAAATAATATTATGAATGTTTAGCTTCAAGTGCCTCAGTAATCACCCCAATACAACAATATTATCTCTAAATATAGTAATTAAACTGTAAATAAATTACACTGTCACTAGTTGATCGAACACTAGTTGAATTCATTTACCTATGTCCGTCTGTCTATTTTAATTTGTAGCTATTCGAATAACACTGCACACATACTTTTCAGGGGTGGACTATAACTATAACAACCATATAAACTGTCGATTCAAATACATGCTTTTGTTATAAAAACTTTTTTTCTGATTTGGAAATTAAGCATACTTTATATAATGTCGTCTGTCTTTTGAAAATAGGGTTAATTGGTGTAGAATTAGGTATAGGAAGCATATCCACTGACGATTTAGGATGTTTCTTAAAATGCTTGCCACCATATGATGTGCGAACATTACGTTGTGTGCAAGCATACTCTAGCTTTAAATTGTTTGAAGGTTCAAAGAGCTCGAATATCTATCTGCATTATGATAATCGATAACTTATGAAAACATCAGTACTGGTAATACTATTAAAGGACGGACAACTCTATCTGCACTATGATAATCAATAACTTATGAAAACACAGTACTGGTAACATTATTAAAGGACGGACAGACATTTGAACTATCAGTACAATTTTCAAACTCCTCTTTAGTAATCTCATGCTAGAGCGATTTAGCTACTATACATAAAATTTGAATTTCAGCACAGCACAATGGATACTTCTAGAACCATGAATTAAGATGTACTACGAATTATATTGTATTGTCAATTTCTTGTTTCTGCAACATAGCTCCAAATAAAGCGAATAATACAAAATTTACTACTCCAGAAACGCTGTTCTTTCACATCTACTAATCACTATTTTGAAAAATTTATATATAAATTTGCGGTCTATTCCTTTTTTTTGTAGTTCTACAAATGTGAATAGTTAACTATAATATATACAAAACAACCAGTTACGAAAATTTAGTATTAAGGTACTTAATATTTAGACTTTATAATCTTATGATATTATTGACTGACAAAAAATACATTTCTATAATGCTATTACATTCCATAAAAATTGTTTTAAAAAGTTTACACTTTTTTGAGAAAAATCAAGTATAAATTAGTTCATATATATTTAATGAAAGTAATGGTTTTATATACTTGCTGTACTGAGATATGCCCTCAAAAGTATGTTCTATAAATTTTGAGAACCTGAAATCAACGTAAATAATATGATATATTTTAAGAGAGATTCTCTCTTATCCTCATTTCCCAGTGAAGCATAGGACACTATTTTACGTAAGTTCGATTAAAATATTTTTTTGGGGTGCTACAGGATCCAATGTGGTCAGCAAATAATACATATTATAAAGTAGTGCACAGTAATAAATGCAAGTGAAAAATTTTTTATTTATCAAAAAAAAAAAACTATTTGATCTATTTCTGTGGTCCTAGTTCCAATTATTATAACTTTAAAATGATTAAATTAATCTCATAGGCTTTTATTTTATTGGACAGATATTGGATAGATATAATAATTTTTGGTGATAATTGTTTTAATTGATAGTTCGAAGTAAAGCACGTTGCATAACACCAAATCAGTAGTGTTATGAACATGTGAACTACTATTGATATCTCAGTCCTAAGAGTTCATCGGCGCGTCCGAACAATCGGCGCCTAATTAGGACAGGAAAACAATACCATGTCATAAGGCGGACAATATCTTAAGCTCTTAAATTAGTGATATCGGACAAACTCGCAAAAAAATGGGAAAAATCCAAATCCGTACGATCACTGCTGTATGCTTAGAGTCGTTGTCATGATATAATAAAAAGGTTGCCTCAAGCTCTAAGAATGTGTTATTTTCTTTTAAATTTGTATTTAGCATATTTAGATACCCATATTTATCCATTGTATCTAGTGTAATTTCAAGTTCGCCAGCACCATTACTTGCTATACACACCTAAACATCAACCACCATGTTTCAGCGTTGAAATTAAGTTTTGTTTATCATAGGCTGTACATGATTTTCTATACAGAAGTTTTCTGCCTTTGATTTCAAATATTCAAAATTTACTCTCATCGGAGAATATAACTCATTTTCAGAACTCCATACGTTTATTTACATGCTTTCTTGCAAAGCTTACTCATTTTATTCTATTATATCTGGATATGTATGGCTTTTTTTTTGCAACCAGGCTATATTACATGCTTTTCTTCAAAATTATACGGACTGTATCAGGACATATTTTGTTTTCAAGTATTTCGGCAATATGTTCAGCCAGTTTGGAAGCTGCTACTCTGGTTGTTTATGCTACACCTTTCTCTATCTGAGAGAATTCAGGGGCGGCCAGTACGAGGTTTAGAAACGTAAGTACTCGTCTCCTTGAAATTATTTACAAAGTTTTGCACAGATGTATATTGACGACCGATATCTTTAGCAATTTTTCGTTGGCTTATATCGTCTTTTCAAAATTTAACAGTTATATGTTGCTCACTAATACTGATTTCACGTCTTGTATTTACTGTTTATATATAAATATACTTTTAAGTAATTAATTCTTAGACTATTTAAGAAGTTAACTGGTAATTACATATCATTTAATGACACATATATATATGCTAGCAAGCGAATTTAAATTAATGGTAAATATAAATAATAGGAAGTGAACGCAGACTTTTTCTGTTTTAAAAACTGTTACTTTTGCATATAATTGTGTATAATTTTTTTTTAAAGAGTAACTTTTAAGTTTTTATCTTTGAACTTTATTGTTGTTTCTTTGGGTTAATTAAATCAGAAACCAAAAATCAATTTGAGTAAAAATTAAAAAAGTTATGCGAAATTTACGAAATATTTTGTGTGACCGCAGACTTTTTCTGCTGCGTGTATATAAATGTTGATTTTGCTGACACATCTGATCAAATGTGTTTAGCAGATATGTTTATTTGGACCACGTTGTGCTTACTGACTTTTAAGTTTTGTGAATATTTCGGAAGATTTATTTAAATTGTAAAATGTAAAACTTAAAAGTTATGAAGCAAATATCAAAGTTTTTTTGTATAGAATTTATTCATTTATATATTAATATGAATAAAAAATATAAATTACAATCCATAGCTCGAACTTCTATAATTCGAAATTTTATAACTCGAATAAAAATACTCGCGAACAAGAATAAGGGAATGTGCATTCTATAAGACGAATTTTTGTCTTAAGTATGAATCCATTTTGGTGTTAGGGGAAGTCCTTTTTTCCAAACCAAATATTTAGTTTTTTCTTTCTTATGTTGCTTTTACAGAGGCATAGAATTGGCATTTCTTCCACCGAATATGAATTAGCTCATTAGTGTAACTTTCGCAACAGAATCATAAAAGAAGTTCTTAAGCTTAAGGATTGCATAAATCATACAACAAAATCTTAATATATTAATGTAAATCGTCAAACAATAGCGCAATGCTTTAAAAAGGCTAGATTTGGCCAATTTTCTACATGGGACGAACATGATGACATATTTCTTTAGTTTCGTTGAATAACATTGATAAAGACCGTGAATTGATGTAAAAGTAAAGTAAATAATATAACTTCCCATGTTACTCTTAACAATTATATTGAGCTTGACAATGAAATTTGTACCATATATCAAGCTTTTCTACAGATGACGATATTATTAAATTCTTCTCTCTCTCTCTATATATATATATAAGCTCAACGGAAAGTGATGATGAGGATTCTCGTTGGATGAAATTTTTTGTCAGTCTTCCAAGAATAAAGTAGAAGACTCATTCAAATTTCTAAATTTTTATTTGCAAACGAAAGATACTATAACTAATGATCACTTTAAGGCTTTGAGAAAAGAAAGAAATAAAATAAGAAAAGAAAATTAAAATTTCAAACTCCATTTTCTAAATATTTTACTTGACGACATTTTAATTATCTTAAAATGTGATTTTAGTTTCTTTTAAAAATAAAAAAAAAAATAAAAAAATTCTCTAACTCGAAGTCTCCATAAGTCGAAGTCTTCTTTGCAAAGTGGTACTTCGAGTAATGAAAGTTAAGTAGTTTGATTTATTCTGTAACTTCAAATACCTAATAGAACTAAGAACGGACACAAAAGGCAATAAAATACAAATTATATGAGCCTAAGTATATATGTATTATACTACAGTATCGGTATAAACAATAGAGATTTTTTGATTTGTTTCTATTGCACAAAAAGCTTTAGTTATAGTTTCTATTAACCAAATCAAAGGCTTTAATATCCATAATGCAATTGTTATTGTTAAAAATTGTTACAGTTAGAAATGAGTTTGTGCGGGCCTATGTCCCACAGAGTACCAAAGAAAGGAACAAATTTATTCTACACAATTTTGTTATCTATATACATACTCTCGTTCTATGTAATATCTTCCTATCGGTATGCCAAATTATTAAATAAATTAAAAAACTTTTTTATTTACAATCTTCATAAATTTATCTGTCGTAATGGCCGCTTGTCCAACTTTTGAATTTCTCGAGCCCTTCTAAACCGGTTCAATGCTGTCTGTAAGCGTATTGAAATAATAAAAGTACTGGATTTCATGAGATTTAATTTGCAATACATTCAATACATTCGTTATTTTCTTTTCGAAAATATAGATATAATTATATATATATTGCCATCAATTTAATATGTATTTAAAGAAGTTTATTTTTACTTTTTTGTTTAACTAAGTTTTTTTTAATTTATTTGATGTGACATATTTGATTTGGCATATTTTTAAAGACAATTCGTTGTCTTCAAATTGCTATAAAAATTCTCAAAATGCAACAACAACTTTAGAAACTACTAAGGCAACAGTTTAATTGATAGAGTTAAGCTATTTACCATATACTAAATGCTTGAAAATGCACTGAAAAGACATACAAAAAGATAAAACTGAAATGAGTAAACAGCTGTTCTCTGGCCAACAAACGACGCTCTAAACTTGTTTTGTTTTTGGCCAAATTTTTTCTGTTTCTGCTATAGTTAAAGCCAGACTTTGTTGTTTTAAAGCCGGAAATACGGTTTCTAACTAAATTGTGTGATAGTAAGGTATCTTTTTGGGTGCACAATTTGCGATTTAATGTCTCGAAAATCTGTATTACGTTTTATCCAAAATTTTTCAACTCGTTTTCTTGCAGTTCGCCGCTTGCTAATCACTTTTTGGCCTTTTTTGAAATTTTTGCGGTATTCACTTTTAAAGCCTTTCACTTTTAGTCACTTCTTCTTAACTCTAAATTGCTCAAATGGCTTAGTTTGCATTCAATTTCAATCTCGCACTAATTTTAACTTTTTTTTACATTGCATTTGGGAAAGGACACCTCACTTAAACGGTCGTCAATCTTTTTTAATTTTAAATCTCATTTCATTTATTCGCAATATTTCATATTCTTATTATTATCATTATTTTTGGAACATTTGGTTTTCTTTCGGTTTTTTTTTTAATTAATAAATTTTGCACACCGACGCGCTGCAGTTCAAGCCAAGATCGTCTTTAAGGCTGACATCAGAGCACCTTTTTTTGACTTGTTCTGCTTGAGCTTGTGTTACTTGATTACGACTCTTTATCTTTATTTGTGTTTTATTTCCATTTTTAAAATTAATTTTAATTTTTTATCTATGAACTTTATTTAATTTCATTAGATTCTGTTTTAGTTTTCAAATTCTCCACTTAAATTTAACGAAAACTCAAAATACCAAAGAAGCACAAAAAAAAACTGTTTTGTATCTTAAATTTGCCGCAAGTGTACGACGGAGTTTTATTATTTGATTTTACCTAAATTAATGCTGAATTTTATCTTTTGCTGGAATCTCGAAATTATTTTTTATTTAACTTTTAGTTCTCGTTTCTTTGTGTATCGAACCGCTGCTGTTGCCCGCCAACGCTGTACTAAAAGAGTGTCGATGCTGTTGGCCAAGTTAAATAAGTTGGTGATGATGATGTCAGTTCTGCTGTCTTAAGAGCAAAAGAGAGTGAGTAAGCTCTCTTCGCAACAAGCAAAACTAACTTCAAATGCTCTTAAATTAAAAGAGGCTTGCAGGTACATTAACTACACTACACAATTGCGGCGATATACATGAGTAATTTTTAATACCAGCACAGCCTTACAATCCGTAAATACCATAGAAAAGTTCGATATTTCTAATAAATGATAGTTTTAAAAAAAATATTTTTTTATTTTTATTATCACCATTATTAAACTATGTACATAAAAACATTTACTAACAACACAGCCAATGAAAAAGAAACTAATGAGTGGTCTAACTTAAATACTTATAAGAAGAGCTTATTAAAAGTCCTTCTTCAAGTTAATAGAAAATGACATCTTGTGGTTTTTCTCGAATAAGTCATTAGAGTAGGTATGTGCTATCCTTCTTTTAAGAGCCGCTGGAGGAATTTAAATTACTTTAGAAAATCGTTCGTTTAAGGATTGAACACATCTGATCCCTCCATATGTTCTAGGCCTTTTAAAAATTTTAGTTATTTTATTTTAGAAAAAATGTTATTGAATACTAACGTGTTATTTAGATAGAATATCTTAGTATATAGTTAATTTTATTAGACTATCACTGTAAAAGGTAATGAGGTCACAAGTAAGAGTAAAAAACCTCTTTAACTATTCACCATTAATTATACATAAGCAAGAGAATGTAGTAGGCAAAATGTGAAGCTAATTCGACTCGCTGACATCACTGTTACCTGACTTCTCGGTCATGAGATTATTAAAAGGAATTAAAAGCAGTCAGTTCAGCCCGCATTGATGGTATTTATGGATGTGTTATTCGGGTGCCAGTTTATATAGCTTGAAGATCGTTGAGAGGGGCACTTATCTCTATTTTCAAGCTAGATTTATTTAGAACATGTGAAAAATTCAAATCGACACCAGGTCGTAAGAACAGATCACATATACTTATTAGCCATGCAAGTACTACTGGGCCCATTACAGCTCTTCCAGACTATTAGTGTGTAAGATCTCACTCAGAGCAACAGCACATTCTTTTTAACACTTATAACAGACATTGTGAGAAGTTACATTTATTCATTTTCTCTGTGATTGTCCTGCTTTGTCTAATAGAAAAAACTTGATTTTTGGATTACATTTTTTTGAGAGTTTGTTGGACTGATTACAAAGAAAAACAGTTGTTAGATTTTACAAACTCAATAACATGGTCTGAATCTTATCTGACAGCCTTTTTTGCTAAAATATGTTATTAAAAAATATATGTTTTTTAATCACTAATTAAAAGAAGATCATCTACTAATCAAATACTATGACGTACCAGGATAACTTCGTTAAGGAACTGAAGACTAACATAATATCATTTGAAGTTACCTTTATAAACCTGATTACAAATACATGCTCCGTGCTAGGATATCACATGTACAGTGTAAAAACTTTGTAATGGTGGTAAGCAACATTTTCAAGTACTCTGAGGTGACATCTCTTATAAAGTTCAAACTATAATAAAAGGACATCAGTATAGTGTTTATATTATGGAATTATTGTACCTACTAGATTTACTGCTATAGTCAAAGTGTAGCACAAAGTGTATTTAAAATGTGCTTTGTCAGGATCGTGATTAAAGTTTGAGATCACTCTTAAGAATATATCAAAACTGTGTGGAAGTTGAATCAAAAGGTAGACGCCGAATAAAGTGAAGGCATTGTGTACATTGTTAATACACATATAATCGTTTAATATCGTTCTTCTCTATTTCTGAAAATTTTTTGCCTATATTCTTATTTTGGCAACCATTTTTCTTGTTTTTCTATCAAGTTCATCCAACTTGGTTCTCAAATGTTCAATATTCATTGTGTTCTTTCTATTCGGTTTTTTTCTATCAATGAACTTTTCATATATTCTTGAGAGTAATTCTTTAGTTCAGCTTTAATACGTAGGCTGTGTTTTAAGACAATACTAAGTATAACCAGCTGAATTTTGACATTTCGAAAGTTTGACATTTTCTTGTATAAATATCATTACAAAGTTTAAGTTTACGCGGGCTTATTGTGTTGTCGAAATTTCGCGTCGAAATTTGCTAAAATAATCGAATTAAATAATAAACATTTTTATGCGACTACTTTTTACGATTTTCGACACGGATAATACAGAAAAAAATGTATTGATTAACATAGTTTTATATTTGGTCATTAAATACCACATCCAGCGATTGTAAAACGCTAGTTTAATGAGTTCGGGCGTGATTGTCGTTTTCTTCACGACGAATTTCGTGAAACTCGTTCAATAACAGCTGTTATACGAGAAAATATTGATGCAGTGTGAGAAATGATTAAAATGGATTATGACCGAAATGTTACATAGCAGGAGATAGATGCATTCTTGGATGGTGTGGGCCACCGTAATGGCCGATGATCGCTCTCCGCTCGTGCTTATTAACAGTGGGGTGAAAATAAACATCTATAAATATCTATCGGGAAATTATTTTGGAGGGAGCACTAAGGCCCTGGACAGATAAGCAGGCGCTGTCGTTGAACATTCCAACAGGACTCAGCTTCATCGCACAATGCGTGCCTCAACGAACGTTCCGTGCTTTATTTCATCAACACAGTAGTCCAGTTTAAAATAAATTTTAGTATGTATGTTGATCCTTTTTTCGAGTCAGCGCAACTTTTTGATAGCTGGGGGTACTACAGGGTCCCACCCATCTCATTGACTAATTAATGTATTCCTTATATATATATATATAAATGTTTGCCATTTTTATTAGTTTTAATAACTATTGTTCTTTATTAATTTAAAAATGTTCTTAGACTTTATACCTCTATTATTGCTAACAGTTCTAATGATTTGTCATAAACATTAACAATGCATTCTAAAAATATGCAATGTGAATACGAGTTGATTAAGCAAACCAATTGTTAGAATATTTATCACTCATAAAGATCAGCAACTGAAATGTGTTCTGTATTAAAATATTTAAAACATATCTTTGTAAACGCAAAGATAATCCAAATAATTAAATAAATTGGTAATATGTATATTATTCTTACCTTTTGAAAAATGTTTCTATTTTATAAAAGAGACTTGTAGAACCAGATCAACTGAATCTTTTCGTTGATGTTTTAGAACAAGGGTAACAAGGTTAACAAAAGTTTTGTTATCCTCAGACATTTTGCCAGTATAATAAACCTTTGTTTAGTTAATATTTCATTCCTTATTTTATAAGTTATTGTTATTTACTGTTCTTATGACTAAATTTTATCTACATATGTCTAAACAGTCTAGACGTATTTGGACTATTGTCGAAATATCGGTGCAAATAGAATATTTTTTTCAAAAAACTAGTTAAAAAAATTGTTTATGGTTTAACAGTGCTCAATTACCTCGTTCAAAAATGTGTAAATTATTATTACTATTAGTAATTATTATAAAATTTAGGTAAATTAGTTACATCAACAAATTTCATAATAACCAGTATTTGTAGAAACTGTTTCGACAAAAGTGAGATAGGAGAGAGTTGAATTATGCAGCTATTAATAATATAGAACTATTGGTTTCTATAGCAATAATGTTGTTAATAATATTGCTAAAACCACCTCTTAGGAATGAAAGGAGAAGATTTCCACAGCACTGTGGAAATTTCATTTCAGTAATCATGGGAGAGAGGAATGAGAAAATAGACTTCATACCTAGTAAACTAGGTTAATCTAAATCAGAAAGGAAGGGCATGAACTAGGTAGGATAGGTGATATAGAAGGGGGATGGGTTACGGCTTACTAGCAGGGGTGGCATCAACAATATACCTTGTGACTGGGGTCAAGATAGCAGTGGTTATATAAGGGGATAGTGGAGGGGTTATGGTCCACTTCATGGAAGTAGTGGGTCAGGTATTGGGGGGTGTTTATAGCGCAATGCTAGAACAAGGTCTTCTAGGAGGTCTTGGAGCTGGGTGAGATACCTACGGGCGAGTGACAGAAGATACTCGTTAACACGAGTGATCTTGGCATTGTTATAAAAAGTTGGTATGGAGAAGTACTTGCCATTAGGCTTGCGCTTATAGTTGGTGCAATCACGGAAAAGTTTCCCCTTAAACAAGCGGATTCTTTCTATCTCAGCAGAAGTAATGGCAGACCAAATAGGGAAAGCATAGGTGAGGAGAGGACGAAGAACCTGCTTTTAGCAGAGCAGCTTAACTTTGAAGTTGAGGTTTGGTGGAGGTTTGGCTCCTAGAGCCGAAATGAAAAGGGGGATTAATAATGAGAAGAGAAATAGGACGATAGCTGAAGGGGTCAGCTTTGGGTTTGGCACTTTTGGCAATGGGACAAACTACGGCCTTCCTTCATGGCTGGCGGAAAGAACCAGTGTTGTACGCATGATTGAAGAGCATGGCGCTCTTTTTAAAAAAGAGCGGTGAGAAACGCCTCATGGCGCAGAAAGACACGCAGTCAGTGCCAGATGACTTTTTGGGTGTTTTGAGCCGAAGCATGTTGATGAGTTTGGAAGGGGTGAGAAACCCTTGGCTGTCTTCAACATTAATGCAGTGAGCGGGGAATTGCGGGGAAAGCATCAAAAAGCCCATGAACTACAGAATTCTTGGAGGACGTAAAGTGGCGCTCGCCTAGGCCAGCCGTAAGACGTGATTAGTCACAAAGACTTCACCAAAGACGTTGGCTTTATCAAGGTCGTCATACGCTATGGTGTTGCTATAGCGGAAGTCTAAGATGGACCTATTCGATCCACAGATTTGCCTGACCGTACTGAAGACGTCAGACCGGCACTGGGTAGCACGAAGTTTGGTACTAATAGAATTAAACCTGGATTGGTTGACTCTTTGGGCAATTATGGTGTCCAGGTTCTTGAGGATGGCTTGGAATGCATGAGCTTTCGTTGAAGCTATCTATCTAAAGCGATAAGTTTAGCGGCGAAACG